GGAGCATATCATAAGCCCAGTAGCCATTGCTTCGGTACTTGTATAATTCATTTTGTCTGCAATATCAAGTTATTATACTGAAACTCTCTCAGTAAAATAAGAAAAAAGAAGACAGAAGACTCCAAAGGGAATATCAGAAACCATAAGATGAAGAAAAACTAACAACATCATGGAAAAACAATGAATTACTAAAAAAAACAAAAACAAACAGTAGACTACGTAGTACACTTTATCAATGCGAAATTATGTAGTTTATCAATGTTCAAATCCAATCAGTCGATTAAATAAGACAAATCAAGGCAACAAACTAAAACTGAGAGAATCGCATGAACTCCAAGAGAAGCGAGACCGGGAGCGGACAGAGAGAATCGCATGAACTTCAAGAGAAGCGAGACCGGGAGCGGACAGAGAGCATCTACAGGGTAAAACTGAACTAGTATACATTATTGTTAAGGGGCCAGCTGAAGCCCGCCACCGGTTGCGGAAATTTCTCGCTGTGTTGAAGACCCATTGGTGGCCTTGGACTGTTTTATGATCTTTGGTCGGGTTCTTGTCTCTTTGAAACATTCCCCGTTTCCATTCTTAATCTTAACTGTAAAGATTGAGCAACACTAACCCTACCAAAACCCTAATGGGATCCTGGTTTGTTATGGAGGGTTATTAAACACTACCTACATGTGCCACCCGTCGTTTTACTCATGATCTTCATCGGTTTAGGTAGGATCTATTTGGCTCTTTGTCTGTTTTTTTTCGAACGGAAATATTTTTTGGATTTCAATACTTTCGGTATGTACCTGATCAAATGTGTTGAATTTAAACGTGTGCACATAGAAATCACTATCATACCTTTAATTCAACCACATCATTAAACGATATTTTTCTATATGGTAAGTCTTTAAGACAGATGAAATATGGTAAAAGAGGGACGAAAGATACCAGAGGGACAGTCAAACTCATAGATCGAAAACAAACTGACAACGCCATGGCCAAAAATAAAAAGACAAACAAACAAATAATAGTACAGATGACACAACATAGAAAACCAAAGACTAAGCAACACGAACTCCACCAAAAACTGGGGGTGATCTCAGGTGCTCCGGAAGGGTAAGCAGATCCTGCTCCACATGTGGCACCCGTCGTGTTGCTAATGTTATTACAAATCCGTAACAGGTGCGTAGAGAACTACCTCACGAACTTAATGAACTAAATAAACCATGTGGTACATTAACAGAAAACCGGAAATTCATACTTTCAAAATGAAAGCAAATAAAATATTCTGTAGCAAAGACTACAAATGGATATGATGCACGAAAATATAGCAACACATGCTGAATAATTTGACTTTTTCCAAAGCCTGTCCTTCGAATTTGTTTTTCAAATGAAATGATATGATATTGCCACTAAAAATTCCGTTTTATTGATATCTAAAATAGTTGAAAAACAAGAATTCGATGCACTTTGCAGTCATGATGTACGTCACGATTACTTTTGCGTTGTTATGACTATTTCACCTTGCGCGGAAGATTCCACTATTGAGTAAAGGGAATCGATGACCTCCTATTAATCCATTATATAGAAATTACAGTAGCATTTTCCGCCAGAAAAATCATAGTAATTTGAGAAAAAATTTATTAAATTTGAAATTGCTTAACTTTTTCTGTTCTAGTATTTTTCGAATTTTGATAAAAATTGTACATATCATTTTGTTAATACTCACTTGAAATTCATCAAGCCGTGTGCATAAAACACGTGCATGTCATAGAAGTCCGTTAAATAACCAATCAATAGAGATTTCCAATAAAATGACATTACTCGACATAACCGACCTATCTCACCGTATCTCGGCCTGTTACAGTGAAGGCGACGGAGGGGAGCATAGACTGCATGAATTATTGGCTCGTTGAGTACACATACTTTGTTGGAATAAATGTTATTTAAAAATTAGCACAAACTACTATTTTAATTCTTTACATATTTTGTAATCAAATTTGGGGTGATTTATTGACAACAACCTTAAAGGGAATAATTAGTTCAGTTACTGGTAATCAAATACACCGATCATTACTTCGTCATTTCACTTGACACATATATTTTTTTCTCAAACGATGAATTCTTAAAGCTCATAAATCAAAATTAAGTTTGAACAAATAAAAATAATGGAATCTGAAGCGTGATCATATTCTCATTTTTAAGTAATAAGATTAAAACAAGAGTTTCAAACACGCCGGAATGTCAAAGGTGTACACGATTTGCCTCTTCGTCTTTTTTTAGCATACTTCTATAATTTATTTCAAGATACTTTTGTCGAAGGTAAAAATTCAGATCACTGATGCATCTTTCTGTTAGTACTGTGTCATCTTTCCGTAGTATTTTATCAAATGGAATTTATGAGGACGCATCTGCAGGAAAAAAAATATGATTACACTTTTCTGAATCAGTTAATTTGTTTATATCTTGTCTTTATTTATTATGATGCATGGATTCTAGGAAGAGTCCATACAAACGTAGGTATAATTGAACGTCAATGTTCTTTAACTGTTGTTTTTTTCTAAAATATTTGGCGTTTAATTATACAAATACGTATAAAAAACGGACATGTACGGACTATTTAATTGAATTTTTGTTAAGTATGATGACCTTTTTGAGTTTTATGACCAACTTATGATAGCATGGGAATATTATATTTACTGGTCTTTGCATCCTTCCGTTCTTCCGTTCTGTTCAAAATATAAAACCTTTAAAATTATATATCAACTATTAGTTTGACCCAGATTAAGTGGTGCACTGAACATGGAAATATTATCATGTGAAGGGGCACGGTGTCTTAAGGCCACACATTCTTGTTGCAAATGTTCTGATTAATAAACGTTCATGTATATATATCTTCCAGACTCATAACTGTCTCTTTTGTATCGCGCTCGTCTCGACAGTAACCTCTCAAAGGCGATCAAGGGAATAGAAATATGGTCACTATTGGTCTTGTTCAGTTAAACCATTGCCAAAATGAAGAGTCCGTTTAGATGAGCGGGATGTACAAGTACGAAGTCCCGTCCGTTCAGAGTGGGGAAGCTAAATCCGATGCCTCTTTTAGATACAATGTCAAGCTCTCTACATGTCAATTATGCATGAAACATTTGCCACTGGACGTTAAGCAACCAACTGTCAATCAATCGACAGTAGCGTAACTTGAATTTTATTTCTGGTGAGGCAAATGATTTGAATCTTGGCAGTTAAATCCTCACCTTGGTATAAAGACGTCAATGCCAGTAAGGAGTGGACGGTTAATTGAAAAAAATGAATCGCAAAATAGGTGTAGGTGATCATACTCTTGATAGGTCACACAATGGTAAAAAGATACTGTCTATGAAAAATCCAGATTTGTGGCATTCTATCATGACATAATATTTCTAGTGCGCATTTAATCAATATATTTTAATGAAACTTCTGGTTAAAGGCTTAATTCTCGGTATTCGAAAAGGTATTAGAATTCAGATAGGTTCCTGTTAAAAAAAAATGACAGAATTATATGTATGACCTCCTCTAAAATGCTTTTGTACAGATTCGGGGATATTAAGTTTAAGATCCACTATGTCTCTTAACTTATACGTTAAGCTTTTGTCAACATGTATGGATGATAATAACTGGGAGAACTATTAAGTCTTGCTTATATTAAAGAAGGTAGAAGAGTATAAAATGTAGGAATGCCAAGTGTCTGTTGAAAACTTTGCCCACCAAAAGTAACAAGTTCGTTGTCAAAAAAAAAAAAAAAAACCAAGCATCATATCAGTTTCACGGGTATGACCTCTTGTTTGGATCAGTTTTTTGCGAATTATACTTTGTTTGTTACTTAAAAAAGATATTTGTATCTACACTTGTTCATTTTAAATTGCAACTTGGATCCGCATTTTGCAACAAAATCTTATTATATTATGTTGTTCAATGTTACTTACCTTACACATTTCCGTTAATGATTTACTAATTAAAATGAATTCGGTGACCCCCTTTTAGTTGTTTATCAATAAAATGGATATAATACTCTAAGTTAGTTCACTTCAAGGGATATCAAATATATTCCCTGGAAATATCTTTTCATTTTTTGATTCCGATAGCATTCCCGTTAAACACATTAATACAGAACAATGAAATTTTAACATTTATAAAGAGACAGATTCTGACAAATTCTGCTTTAGATATTTCTGAAATTGTCAGAAACATATCCTTCTGAATATTTTCCCAGCAACAAATATAATAAAAAGATAAATAAACTATAAAAAAGACAGAAAAAAATATAATGGGGCGTTCAACTACAAAGTATATTGAAAAATAATTGTCATAATCAACACCATGAAAGATAATTCGAATTGTACGTACGATAGGAATGGGATACGTGTGTTAATACGTGATCTTATGTCAGTAAAAAAATGCGGCAATCTAGAAAACCACGTGATAAATAAAAATGCAATATTTCTATCATTTTTCGTCATGATAATTATTTGTTTTATATGGTCGAAAATTCCAGTGTGTGATTTTAAAAGTCTTGGAATACTTTGTTTTAACTTAAGCGACGTATTTAATCAAATTCGATGGTTGGCAATAACCCGTCCCATTAGGTCCGTACGTCGAGTTACGTACGTATGTCATTTTATTGGAAATCTCTAATAGAACCTGCATATTAAAACTTTAACAATTCTACGAACATATGTTCTTCCTACTACATTGCCTTACATAGCTTATATACACCCGATGAACAGTATATCTAATGTAATGCATAAGTGTAAGTGATAATAGGTTGTACCTTATTTAATCTTATTACACATAAATTCGGAATACTGTAGTCTTGATGCGTTATCACGTCTACACGTTAATCTTTCTTAAGCAGTATTTACTTTCAAACGATGATATTAATATCAAGCTTACACATATTTGTTAACAAAAGAAGATGTGGAGTGTGCAGTAAAAGTTTAAATAAATAGATAACACAGGTATCCAAAGTGAAAATCCCCCAATTTATTTTTAAATTTTCGGATAAACCGAAAGGTAAAATTTTGGACGACGTGTTCCTATTTACACGGATAAAGGTAAGTCTGCTTTATGTACTACATAGTATATAATTATCAACAGTTTTGTCTTATAGCAAGTTCACTAAAATACGAAAGAATGAAAGAAAGACAGAATGAAAAAAGAAAGAAACAAAGAATAGACAAACAAACAAACAAACAAACAAACAAATCGTGAATAGTTAATCTAGCAATCCAAACGTTTACAAAGGAATTCTATGCAACTGTCATACAAGTGAGAGGTTAAGCTAGTTATAACACCAGGTTTAATTCAGAATTTTCTACATAAGTATATGCCTGTACCAAGTCAGGAATATGACAGTTGTTTTCCATTCGTTTGATCGATGTGCTTGAGCTTTTGATTTTGTCATTTGATAAGGGACTTTCTATTTTGAATTTTCCTTGGAGTTTGGTATTTTAGTTATTTTACTTTTCGCCCCCATATTGTCTCATTATGTTTTAATACCATATATATGTCAGGAAGATTCCATGTGTTAGTGATGCCCTTTTTCAAATATGGGAAAGGATTATCAATAAGACGTAGCTTAAAGATATCAGTTATACAAGTTGTTCTTTATTTTACAAATGTGTTACCCATAATAAAAAACCCAAATTCATTACAGTTTACCCTACACCCCTCTACCCCGGTCCCCGCCCTCCCCAAAAAATGATTTTGAGTTTCACATCAAACAAATATTTTTAACAATCTTCTTCCAAACGAATACCAGCACTTTATGTTGAAAATTAAAACAAATGATTCATCCTGGACTTCAACAGATAAAATTTTGGATATATAAATGAATTATTTTTCTCATATTTGAAAGGTACAACAAACACATCAATACTAATAATAATAATAATCATAATAGTTATAATAATAATAATAATCATAATAAAAATTACTATTATGATAATACATAATAATAATAATCATAATAAAAATTACTATTATGATAATACATAATAATAATAAGAATAATAATAATCATAGAATGTACAAGTACTCGTCCTAATTCTTGTACCAGGAAGTTAATATAACATGATATACACATGATCTGAAGAAATATTTAATCTATACAAATGCAATGGCACGAAATGAATGAATTATCATTAGCAAGGTAAAAATGAATGTAAAAATTTAACGCCTATTTTAATTCGTAAGAACAATTTGCATTTCAACCCTATAGTGAACTAAAAGAATGCAAAAAAGTTTTGCAGCTTTAAGATATTAAGCTATTTTTAGTTTTGCGCGGTGAATATACTTCATCAGGTGAATACGTGGTTTTATTCAAAATCCAATCATATAGAAAAACCTAATAAAGTTTTATCAATATTGAATAAACCAAAAACCGACATTAGTAATATTATCCCTGATGAAATTCAGAATCATACATGCGAAAAGGGCCTATCCAGATAAACGTATAACACTATTTAAATTTTCGTTGCAATATCACATTTTTATTGACATTTAAATATTTACATTTCTACTATCATAAAATATATAACATAATTACTCGAGCATTTAAAAAGATAATTTAAACATGATCTTTTCTTATTTTAAATTGATATCTTGGTAATTTCCCTAACGTCTCCACTTCTGAGTGTTCTGAATGACACATCATATTTCTTTGCTAATTTTGAAAACAATCTTTTTGTGTTTTTATCCAAAACATAATTGATTGATATTGTATGCCTGCCAAATTTATCTCTGATATCAGTATCATGGTAAAAACTTAGTTTTTGTGAAAAAAATGATAAATTTTGAAAAAAAACATCAGTCTTTCTATGATATCGATGAAAATGGATTTGTAGATATAATTAGCCACTCGAAAATGATTTCCTTGAGGTGTAAAAAAATATTGATTGTCAACAATTAACAAAAATACCAACCAAAATACATACATGCCATGGCATTGTCAGTTTGTTTTCGATTTATGACTTTGATTATCCCTTTGGTATATTTCGCCTCTCTTATGTACTGCTTTGTTTTTATTCAAACTTGATATATATCGAACACACATCCTGAATTAATTCCTGGTGTCAAAATTTATGAAAACTGATATTTTGATATAAAAATAAGGAGATGCGGTATGATTGCCAATATGACATCTATCCACCAAAGTTCTAATGAAGTAAATATAAGCAATTAAAGGCAACTGTACGACCTTCAACAATGAGAAAAACCCATACCGAATAGTCGGCTTTAAAAGGCCCCGACATGAAAAATATGAAACAATTCAATTGAGAAAACTAATGGCCTAATTTATAACAAAACAATTTACGAAGAACAAATATGACAGACATAAACCAACGACAATCACTGAACTACAGGCTTCTGACTTGGGACAGACACATAAAGAATTTTTGATTTAATGTGATTTTTTATGATTCCAAAACCTAATCATTGAATCATCATTTTACCTTATACTTTTTGGGTACGGTAGGCGACATACATCTTCCTTAAAAGACGTACACATCTTTTATTATATAAATTATACATTATACTAATAAGATATATCTTTATCTATATATATTAATTATGAGACTTAGGAAACTTATTTAGGAATGTACCATGACAAATACGTTATGAACACTATAAAATTCTCAATGATTTAACCCATTTCTCTGACGTCATTCTATTGTTCTTACAGTGGATTATTTTTCAAGAATCCACTGACTACTTCGTTAACTTAAGATAACTTATTTTATAACTTTTAACTTACGATTTTTTATCCTCTCAAAAACGAGTGGCATTTGAAGGGTTCGAACTCGCGCGTATTTTCTTCATAATCAGTAGAGTCTTCAGTCTATGCATGATACCACTATACCACGAGTGCTCACATAAATCATTATTTAAATAACACTCTTAAAGCGCACAACTGTCAATATATGTCAATAAACTGTATTCTATTTCAGAGATAATTCGCTTTTGTGACTTAACAAAATATATATACTATGTCTGGATTTGTTCATGCTCTTTTCAAATTTATTTATATCACGTCAACATTGAACGGACTCTAATTTGAGTAAAGTGTGATATATAAGCTACGACCGTAAAACTACTTCTTTGACTGTAAAACCAGAAACAAAATCATCGCCTTTACATGAAAATGAAGTATATAATACCTCTAAGATTAAAACTATTTTTATCGAGAAAAAAATTACACAATGAAAAAATTTCATTCCGGATACAAGGTTCGAACTTTGCACTGTTAATATCACCGTTATGACATTCGTTACCAACGACTAGACGATCACAGCTATGAACAGCTTGATGGTAAGTTTATGAAATCAAGATAATTATTCATTGTTCATCCGTAGCAAGAGCAATTCTGATGGGGATTCAGAATGCGTACCTCAGATAAAACTAGTTTATTTACCGGTGAACAGTGGCGGGTCCAGAACTTTTCATAAGGGGGGGCCCGCTCCAGTCATGTTTCTGTGATTCCCTATATAATCAACCAAATTTTTCCCACGAAAGGGGGGGGGGGGGGGGGGGGCTGGGCCCCCCAGGGCCCCCCCTGGATCCGCCTATGGTGAACGATATATGCCAAATGAAATTATAACGTTAAAATAATCGTAACTTAATGAAACGGAAACAGTTTAAACAGATTTGAATATAATTGTTCAATTTAAATCGTAAGCACAATCGTAATTTTAATACTTTAGGAAAGCAACATGAATTTGAGCATTATGAAATGGCAGATTTATGGCATCTACCTTATCAATATTTTTTTGACTTAGAACGGCTTAACGGTGTGAGTCTTCAATTAACCAAAACATGTTGCTAAATATTATATATATAAATTTTGAAGGTTCTAAATTTTGGTAATTAAAATTTTTTAACTTTTCAAAACTAAAGTCGCTCGTTGATTATCGTTTACGAATCCACTACTTCTTATCAATTCTCTACTACATAACATTGGCTAAATACATAAGACAATAGGTATTACTTTAGAAGACAACAGAGACATCATGTCAAAAGTTAAACAGACATATACATAACAAGGACGTAATTTGAACATGACAATATAAAGCTTTTGAATACTTACTCCAACTAATTTTTTATTCCTATCAAGGACTATTTTTATCCTTTGTAGAGAATATGGTAAAACAATTTCCTGAGCTTATTCTGATCTGTGTTTGTTACGAACAGACTGCATTTAAAGGCGATATTTACGTTTTAATTTTTTGATTTATTTACCGAGAGAAGAACAATCTACTAAGTTTACATGTATCCTAGTTGTTCATAATGGAAAGTAACATAGGAAATGTGTCCTCATCCATTTCCAACCTGGTTGATTGTTGGATATTTCCAATTAAACCTATAGCAGAAAAAGGGAGATTAGCTGACCCCTAAAGCAGTAGGGGTCAGACAATCTCTGTCGGAAATATCCAACAATCAAGCAGATTGGATTTGGATGAGGATGATATTCCCAAATTCAAGAAAAAAAGGCGGAGCCTGCACATTTATACAACCAATTTGTCAAACATGCAATCAAATTTGTTCCATTACTGTGTACACCGCGTTTCTTGTTATCCTATTTTGGCTTTGACAATACGAAATGATTTTTTTTGGAAGGAAGCACCTGAAATGATTTTTCTTTTTTCTACTTTTAATTCATTTTTATAAGTTCTGAGTACAAATTAGCGGCGACCTTGTCATAAAAGGGTACAACAAATCCATAAAACAGTTTACAGAAATCTAACAATTTTGTTTCATGAACTTCACCAGTGATTTCAAGCCTCTGTATAGGTCAGCAATTTCTGCATCACTAATCACTTCCATAGTACTTATTATTCTATTCAGTACAATATAGAATCATATTCCAGCAAGATCACATTGCTTGTAGTTCAATTGATCGGCGATCAATGTTTTTTATTTTTATTGTTAAATTGTTATTTGTAAAGAACACTTGGGCCAGGTGAGCTAAAAATAGATGGTAGTGATATAAGAATTCGGAAATCACTTGTTTTACCTCGTCATGTATACCTTGAGGCTTTAAAAATCTGTCCATTGATTGAATAGAAATGAGGTTGGGTTTGCGCCAAGTAATATGAAAATGATGCTTTTAAATACAAATTATTAGTTTGTTGTAATATATATTTTATTTCCATTTTCTTTATTGCTACATTTCCGTTTACAAAATAAAGATATAAAATATCCATAGAGACCAAGAATGTATTTTTATGTTAAATTTAACATGATTGCTGATGGGTTTTTCCCTTTGTTTTATTAGATATTGACACCGAGGAGAATTCAAGTATCAAGACAACCAACGATCTTTAAATCGTTATGGCGGAAAACTTTGTCTTGCCATCTCACGACGGTACTATCGTTAAATGTTCTAACAACGAGACTTGTCTTCATGCAGTACCTGTTAGAAAACAGCTGGAAACCGTTGGTTTAACAACAACTAATTATGAAATAAACCCACGTGAACCCGGGTACTCTGTAGCCTTACTTAGTATTGTTAAAGATTCAAAGTTTGTTTTGGTGTTTTACTGTAATCATGTGAAATCATCTCTGGAGAGAATACTCAAGCAAGATCTAAAATCATTTCGTAGTAAAGTTATCATTATAGCAAGGTCAACAGATCGTCTACGAAACTTGAAGGATTTCACACGTTTTTCAGCGTTTGACAGCGACAAAATAATACAACACATTCAACAAATAGTGGATATGACAGACCAAGATAGGTACCCATCTCTAGACCAGCTGACGGACCCTCCTTCAATTCCACAAAGAATGAAAAAGCCATATACTGAACAGACAAAAGTAAAAGAACTAGACACATCACCTACTCTAGATAAATTCCAGTTTACAACCAATATTGTTCCCAGTGGTTTTATTCATGCAGATACATTTGATACTAGCGATACAGGAAACAGAGGAACACATGTGCTACGCTCATCGTGTATACCTAAAGGTTTTTATTTATATATTTATCTATTTCTTACAATGAAGGGCAACATTGTGCGGTAAACGTCAAAAAGACACAAACCGAACAATACAATGTTAAATAAAAACAAAGGTCAATACACGTTCTAATCAATTTCCTCGAATCTGATTGAGTTATGAATGAATTTTACAACAAGAATATTTTTTTTTCACTTTCAAGGACACACATTTTTAAGGAAATATCTTCCACCAATTTATCCTTAATTATAGAATGAATGCAATAACTGTTTTAACATTTTATTATTATTATATATTTAAAATGATTGGAAAAAATGGTGGCCGAGCAGATCTGGTTAAAACAGCGAAAGTCAAAGCATCCAGAAATTACGAAAACCATGATAAATATCATCGAATAAGAAACACATGTTTAACCTTGAATGCACAAAATGATGCAAGATCTTCAGAGAAATTAAGTTAAGGCCTTGAATTAAGCAAACGTGACAGATATTCCAGACGGATTTCCATATGACCCTTGCAACTGACATAACAGAAACTTCACAAAGCATTGTACCTACTTTGTTTAATAATATACTTCTGCATATTTTGCCTGTATTTTCAACCCTTAAAAAAATCTACGTTCTTTCATTGTGATTAAAAATTAATACCAAGATTTAAAAAATAGTTTTTTTTATTGTAATTTAAAAGGCGGGTTTGTGCTTGATCCACGACCTCAAATTGATATTTGCTCTTTGCCTCTGAAATGGAAATGTAGTGTTTAAAATAAAAAAAGTTTTATCAATATCGGTTAAGAATTCAATTTAATTGCGTAGGTAATGTTTTGATTTGTACCTTTTACTTATTTTTTGCCTCCAATCTCCGACCTAGAAATAAGTATTCGTAGTCATCCTGTCTTTTAAATGATCATTAACATTGCGTATTAAATTTGATGACGTCTTTCTAATTAGCTGTGTTTATATCCCAATGAATAATATTCTAACCTTTATCCTTGATTTCAGCTTCACAACTTACTTAGTATCATCCAAGGTTTATAAAATTCGTTGTTATTAAGATATTTTTAGAAACTTTTACTGAAGTTGATGTCTAATTTGCTTTGACATAAATTTCACCCGAGAACATGACCTTAGGTTGATTTAGACTTTATAAGTGACGGGCTTTCCTTCATTTTGTATACTAAATCCACCCGACAAAAAACAAGAAAAAAACAAAAAAACCACACAAAATAGAAAAAAAATATATTGGTACTTTGTGGTTTAGTTTCAGTAGTTTCATCAGTAAACGAAATAAAACGACGCTTCAATGGTGCAACAGAGGAAGGACGAGAAGATCTTTCCAAACAAATTCTGTCCAGTACTATCAAAGAACTAATCAGAAACGGTGATTTCCTTGGGATGATAAATCTTTTAGATATCGATGATCGCAGGATTCAGACGAGTGTTTTCAGTGCAATTGATTCATATCAGTTACAAACAAATTTATGCAGTCGATGTAACAGAGGTACCGAAATGTTGAAGGGAACGATACATTTATTTGAACTATGTCGAAAATGGTCCGCAAATCAATTCGCTATGGTTAGTCTCTTACCGTTAACCTTAGATACGACAGCTGTTTTGTATCTGTCATCTTGTGTTAATGGTTTATCACAGTCAAATTTAGTTCCAGATATACAAATATTTACCGAAAATTCATTGCCTGTCGTGAATAAAATTATTTTAGACAACACTTTGTCAGCAAGTTCAAGTCAGTGTCAATATTTGCTACTCTCCCTCCAAAAACTGCTGGATAACTTGAAATGTATAGGCATGAATCCAAGCCCACTACAAATGGGGAACTTCAAAGATGCTTTGATGAACGAAAGCAACCGTGATGAACTGAAAAAGAAATTCGCTAAATCAATGACATACTTGGAGCAGTACTCCTTACTTATGGTTGTTATTAATCAGGTAAAATTTGTATTGTAACTATTGGTAAATACTGTAGCAATTATCAACTAATCAATTTACATTAATTAAGCAACTGCACATGTTATAACTGAATATATAGGAATCGAGAAAATTAAAGTAGACAGTTGTCATGTTGTTAAATAAGATCAATGACGTAATAATTAATATACATGCATGAACGAAATAGGCAATGTTAAGAATAGGAAATATTAATTCAATTGATTGCAAATGCTGCATAGTAACATCTAATGGTAAATGAATTTAGTTTTAACAGGTCATTTTAATCTTAACATCGATCATCCTAAAAGTCAAGACATTATATAGTCACGATCAGTCTTTCAAACAATTTTTGACGGCGAGAATTTCAATACTGTTCAGATAAATCGATTGCAGTCAATTCCGTACTGCTCAGTAGCTTTTCAAACAATTCAGTATGATGTTCATGTGTACACGTAACACCGTTTAAAATAGAATGAACATATCTTATTGACTGCAAGCGAGAGAATTGTCTGAACAAAACTGAATTCACCGCAGTAGATAAGTCTGAAAATTGACTGAAAGACTGAAGATGAAATACTAATTTATTGTTCAGTCTTTTAGGTCCTGTTTAGATCAAAATGACCTTTACAGATTTTGGTTGCCAGTGATACATTTTTGTAGATATAAAAATTAATTAGAATATAAATATATTCGTCTGTTTTTAAGATTATGTTGAAGTCTGAGCTGCAGATTGTTGCTTTCTTGTCAGATTTGGCAGTCATTTTGCTTGACAAAGTTTCAAAGAAATCGAAATCTATGCAGACTATATTTCCTCAGCTGTTGTTGATAACGAAAGGTGTTGTACAACGTTTATGCAAAGGTAAAAGAATAATCCTTATATTATAGGTATAAATAAATTTCAAAGAAAAACATTCACACCCAATGATTTACTTATTAAAACGTGACATACTGTTTTGAATTAGAGATTTTACCTGTAAAAAAATACTCATAGCAAACAATGTTTATTAGTATTTTAGATGTTCTGAAAATTTGTTGGCATCTTTAGACACGTCTGATCTTCATTTATATAATTATGGTCTTAAAGACAAAATGGTCTCAATTTAATGATGATAATTTTCTCTACAATTTAGTGCAATATTAATAATGTGTGTGATTAAAACAAAATGCTAGTATCATTGCCAGAATTTGTCTACCTTTTGAAAATTACGATTGGTGAATGAAGGAATATTTGTAGTAGGTTTACAAGCAATATAAAAGTAAGGAGATGTGGTATGATTGCCAATTAGGCAACTATCCATCAGAGTTCAGAAATCAGCAAGATCATTTGAAAAGAGCTGCGATACCGAATCAAGGAAACGTCGAAAATTGTACATTTGTTGTATAGGAATATTATTTTTTATTTTATTTTCTACATAAGGAAATGCCTGTACCAAGTCAGGAATATGACAGTTGTTTTCCATTCGTTAGATGTGTTTGGGCTTTTGATTTTGCCATTTTATAAAGGACTTTCCGTTTTGAATTTCCCTTGGAGTTCGGTATTTTTGTTATTTTACTTTTTTCAAGATGAAGAGTTCAGAATGATGAATAACTGAATATTTGCATTCATAAGATATTAAGGGTATAATAAGGTCTGACTCTGATTGTTATCATTTTGATTTAGATGAAATATTCGAAAAAATATTCTTTGATTTGATTAATATTATAATCCAAAACATACTAGTATCATACTGTTTCAATTGAAATAGTTTACTACCATTTAATTTATTTTGAATATTCATGCACGCAGTTCCCCAAGAAAGGTAAATATATAACAATTATTTTATAATTCTGTTTGTTTTGGGCATGCATGCTTTGTTATATTAGAGTTGACGATTGAATGATGTTTACTGTATTTATAATTATTTGTTGGTGTGGATATATTGATATTCGTTGGGTAAACATTTTAGTGCATTTTGTTGGTATAACGAAATCACGAGTGAAAAAACTAAACGATATATAACTTTATAACAATATCTTCATTCACAACCAGTAACATTTCTTCTATCTTATTTTATCACTTTTCGTAGATACAATGTCAAAGGAACCGAAACATGTTCATTGTGCATGAATAAAAAAGGAAATTAGATCTTTTAGTGTGCTTTAGAGATTTTGACTTCAAAACTCCAAACAAACAATGCCTTTTTTAGTTAATGTTTGCCTTTTGCATGAGCTTTTCATTTAAAAGGCAAAATGCTGATATTTTTTCTTTATCTAAAAAAAAAACAATCCTGTGAACTCTTCATAAGCTCATGTTACTGAAACAGCATCTTTGACATTTCAAGGCTTTGTCTTTATACAAAAATGGAAAAAAAATGTAGCCCTTAGTTGCAAACACAAAATGTAATCTACATAACAAAATATACAGTACATTCCTTAAACATTTCTGATTTGCCACTTCTGCTTTAAAAATACAACAGCATTTTTAAAATTGGTGATGTGAAATTTTGTTTAATAGCAGTAATGACAGTAGAGTTCATGTCAAAATTTATATTTATTAAAGACAATATAAATTTGTAGTTAATATTTAAAAAAAAATGTTTTTGGCATATATGTATTGGCTATACAGTTTGAAAGAAGATATTAAAAGATATAACCAAATCAAGACAATATATTGTTTTTACTCACAAACGATACGTTTTGGTACAAGTAATTAATCATATGTTCCTAATATACAGGTTCACACTTGCCAAGAACAACGGCCGAATATCAGATGAAGTTGTGTAGGATTTCAAATTTATTCATCGATACTACAAAGATCAGTCAAATGGACAGACTTCATATTCTCAATCTCACTGAACCACTACTCTTCAAAGAATCTAAAGACATTGTACAGAATATTGTGTATTTGTTTTCAAAGAATAATCACATGTCCAAAGATATAAGAGAAAAGGTCAGCAAAAATATTGTCCACCAGTTATCTGTAATTAACTTTAAAATAGACGGAGTTATTCATCAGTCAGCCAATGTAGGATTAGAACCGTCATGGGTAACGTTTGCAGGGACAGTATCTGAAGAAAAAAATGTTGTTATGCATGCTCTGATTCCTACTCTTCATTGTATAAGTGAAGGGAGCATGGCAGATTATAAACATAAAGCGAACAAGGGTGAAACCAGAAAGCATTTGAATACCCTGGATATCCTGAGACATCTACAAGATGAAAAGGTTCATCATAATTTGATTCAACTGATTGCGTTTCAATGTAGACCTCTACCAATATTTTATATAACAGACCAGTCAATAGATTATGACTTAAACGCACATCTGTTAGATGCAAGAAAAGTCTTCAAATGGATTTCCTACAGAGAATTAACCACAATGGTGGCAGATGCTGTAGATGCGGTAGGGTATCTCCACAACAAGGCAGTCATCCATCGAAACGTGACAACATTTGCCTATAGCCTGAGGAAAAATAATGTTGTTTTGCACGATTTCAGCGTTTCAAAGGTTTTAGGAAACAATACTGGATTTATATCAGGTTATTCTTATATATAATTTTGTAATTATACAGTTTTAATGAGTTTCCCTTACAACAGTAGGCGATTTCATTCTAATATTGTTTTGTCTGTTCACTTTAGACTTAAAAAAAACAATGTTCAAATACTGAACAAATTTAAAGGGATAGAATTCTCAGAAAATTCAACAAACGATTTTGCATAGAATTAACAAATGTTACGATATTTTTATATTCACGTACCTAAAGTACCAAACGAAGGACTTGGTCGAATTGTCAGATAACCACTTAGCGCAAACTTGTTCTCGCATTAGTATTTCTACTCTAACAGGCATAAACTTTCAGCGTGTTTATTTGCAAATGCGTTTTGTTTGCACTTTTGAATGCTAAATTCTCCCAACAATGGAATATTATGGAATAGTGCGACGTTACGCATATTCATACCAGGTACTTATATACAAAGATATATCTAATATAGAGTATGAAATTGCGGAGCTGTATTGGTTCTGCCATTATGAATGTTATTCAAAACTGATGCCATGCTATTTGATCTGAACGATGTCAAAATCCAAGGTCTTTTCGTTAAAAAAAATCCGTACGTCTGACATCTGTTTCGTCCCGATTTCCGTCCACTTCAGGTAATTTGATATAAACATAATGGCATTTTGTAGATGTCCACTTTGTTAGAGTATATAGTATTAAAGTAACAAAGATCCCTATCATGTTGAATATTAAAATCATTTTGATTTCAATTTGTTAACACATGAATAAATGAAAATCAAATAGACCTAACAAGGAAGTGCAGTCCGGTTCAAATTTGCTCAGAGATGAAAACATTTTATAAGTAACATTTCATATTGAACGGACAATATTTAAAAAGTGTTATTTTCATATTCCTACCACTAATGTAAATTCTGTGAATATGAAGTAAAATTCGCTTAAACTCAATAATTTCAGGTAATCTGGTACTACTACATTCTACAATTCCAATTCTCCTGTAACATGTGTAACTTGTAGTAAGAGAAATTTCGCTTTTACTTTATTAACCACCGCAAATGTATTCTATAAGAAACTAATAATCGGTATACATGAAATTTTCTTTTTATATACAGATTTAGAAAACACTCAGATTCCTGTTTTATGGTCAGCTCCCGAAAGTATTTTAGAGGACCACTATGATACTAAAACAGACACATGGATGATAGGCCAGTTTATTTATGAAGTATTTACCCATGGTTGTCATCCTTACACTGAAGTGTACGGAACTCCAACTGAACAGCTGTTAGAATATGTGAGTAGCTTCAAGAACAACATAAATGACACGGTTGATATTTCTCGCCGTATAAATCTGATAAAACAATAGAATGGTGGCAAACAGAAATTGCCATAAAATATAAAAATACGAATGTTACACTTTCAAATTACTTTCTGCGAAAAACGAAACTGCACCAAAAACCCTTCAACTCCCATCAATGTCGAATTTATGAAAATTATTAATTAACTCACTGCTGCTGCTGCATCAATAATAAGTGTGCAGACAAAATCCTTTGAAAATTCAGGTCAACCAGTTGTTACAGTTAATCATACAAAACCATTCTAAAACATTTTTTATTGAAGACATCAACATTTCCAACAAGCAACAATAAGTTTCGTTAATTTAGACAAAAAAAAAAAATATATATATACTTCACAAATATAACATATAATAAGTTCAATCGGCAAATTTTTTAATCAAATATGTAAGAATAAACTTCAGATGCTTAAACAACAAAATCGAAGCACAATTTCATCAATTAAAAATTGACAGTAAAAAAAAAGCTTATCTCCAATAATTTCAGTGATGTTTTTTCTACCACCCCCCACCCCCTCCCCCATATAGAGATTGCCTTAGTCTTATTTGGTACATATTTTCTGAATAATCGGGTGTAAATACTCTTCAACTTCAAATTTAGTTTGGCCTTCTTACGGTTTTGATTCGGGCGTCACTGTTGAGTCTTATATAGACAAAAAGAGCGTCTGGCGTACAAATTTCAAAGTCTTGTATCTTTGAGGAGTTTTTACTCTATTTTAGATTGTTTTTCAAGATTTAAAGCCACAGAAATGGCCATGCATTCCAAAAGACATACATGATATCATAATAGGATGTTGCATGACGAAATCAGAGGACCGTATAGATATATGTAGGATAGGAAAATTACTTAACAGTATACTTATTACTCTTAACGGAGGTAACATACATCAGAAGTTTGGTAAAGTATTTGTTAACAATGACATTAAGTGCCATTCAATTGCTTCAAAGCAATTGCATAACAGATAAGAAGCAAAGCGTAATTTTGATTTACTAAGTGTTGTCGTCTAAAAATACAGCATAATTCTTTGAGTTGTACTTCAAGCAGCAACGTTTTTGGAGAGTATGTTTTTGTTCGTCAATCAACTCTCATCTCATTCTTCATTCAGTTAATTTGTAATATGGATAGAACCTTAATCTTTTGTCAAACAAATAAAAGGATATATCTGGTATCCGGCAATGAGATAGCATCTGAACAACACAAAAAATTTAAAAGCCATCTAAGAGGTCAAAATACGATCTTAAGCAATAGATATTTGTATTTTCAATATGTAGGCAATCCAAAAGAAATTGTATCTAACATTTTTATCGATGCACGTGTGTTTGGTTCACTTGTAGAGTTTTCCTTTGGAGCTCCCAAAGAGAAGCACCGTTTACCGGATTTGTAATAACATAAGCAACACGACGGGTGCCACATGTGGAGCAGGATCCGCTTACCCTTCCGGAGCACCTGAGATCATCCCCAGTTTTTGGTGGCGTTCGTGTTGCTTAGTCTTTAGTTTTCTATTTTGTGTCATCTGTACTATTATTTGTCTGTTTGTCTTTTTATTTTGGGCCATGGCGTTGTCAGTTTGTTTTCGATCTGTGAGTTTGACTGTCCCTCTGGTATCTTTCGTCCCTCTTTTGGATAAATATCGTATCATGTTTTAACAATCTTAAGTGGGTTGAGTCGACGATAATTAAATATTTATGTGATTTTACAATTTTTCGTCAGTTTTAGTTGTTTAAAGTGATATTGGTCGGACAAAGCGGCATAACTCAGATCTCTTTTGGTAAAAACTGTATGTTGTTTACTACTATGGTTTTTGTTCTCTTGGTTATAGATATCCAATACAAAAAAAAAAGAATGAAACAAAAATAAAAGATTGGATGCCTTTATGGTATTAAAAATCTGTGTAAAGGTTCAGAGTGATGCATTCTGAATAATCGTTATGTGAATTTATTTATGATGCAAAATACTATTCATTAACACTTTTTTGATATTCCTTTTTAACCTTTTAAATTTTTTTAGGAATGCCAACACCATGTAAAGCTCTTCATCATTTCTTTATAAATAGGTTGTGAATAAATTTATCAGAGCGTGTCAAAGATTTACTATCAATATAAAAACAAATAACTACAAAAACTCTGCGATAGGGCAAAAGTCAACCAGTGATAAGGCTCCTACATGAGAGAAGAACATATTCATTAGACGGGATTAAAATAGTTTTCTCAACATACCACTCGGTCTGTCTTTTTGAATTCATTAGTGCGGTAACAAAAGTCGCACATAAGAAAGCACAATAGACAAGGCAAAAGTATTTATATCGAAATTTCTTTTTTGAAAAGTTAGAAGCGTAATTATATTATTAACTTGTAGATGAATTTTTAGTACCACTGGGTCCATGGCACTTCTGGTGGAGTTTCATTCCAGAGGGTATCATCAGCTCAGTTGTCAGTATTTTTGTGATGAAATAAAATATCATTAATATAATAATTTTTCTGTAAATTTACTTTTTATAAAATGTTGAAATATTGTAAAAAAAAGGTTTTTCTATCCCCGGGTAAAAATAACCATAGGCTTATTTGGAATTTTTCAAAATTTTGGTTATCAATGCTTTTCAACTTCGTAATATTTAATTTGTGTTTGCAATTTTGTTGATCGAGCGCCACTGATAAGCCTTATGTAGACGAACGCTTGTCTGTCGTAAACCTGGTATATTTGATGAGTTCTTACCAACTATTAGTTAATTTTAATTAAGTTAAAAAAGCTTTTAGTAACTTAGAGTACTCTTAGATCGGTACTTTCTGTCTTTTGTATCTGTCTTTTTTAAGTTGTTGTTTTATTTTGTTGTTGTTGTGTTTCGATTTGATGAGCCGAACCAGTTAACACTAATAATTACAGTTAGTTTTTATTCTAGGCTGTTACACCACTGTCCTATGTTAGAGGGAGGATTGAGCTCTTGAAAACATGTTATGTCGGGCCCTTCATAGCTTATTATACTGTATGGGTTTTGCTCATTGTTAAAGGCCGTTACATGACCTATAGTTGCTTTTATCCACGTCATTTGGTCTCTTACGAATAGCTGGATAATTGGTTATCATATGTGTTCTTATTGTAAATTAAGCATTTCTATGGTGTGTTTATGATTGAATTAATGATGTAGCTATGTTATCATATTACTTCAGGACGACGTAACCTGGTCTCGCATATATTTGAGGAAGACAAAAAATATCCCGAATTAGATCTTCAGCATGATGTACCTGAAAGGGTATGTTTCCTGTTTGCTTGCACTAACCTTAGTTTTCAAATTTCAATTTATTTATGAATATTTCAATTAGTTGAGTATCTGATACTCGATAAAGTGAATGAAATTTTTTAAGTAAATTTGGTTTTATATCATATTCATATTATATCGAGTATCATTTCTTTCTCTGATTTCAAAATTAAAGATTTATTTATTTTGTATAAAAGATCATTCGGTCTTTGTGCATTTTTGTGGAATAAAAATACTTCTGAAAATATTGGCATAAAGAACATATATACTGTTTGTTTTCAAAAGTTTTATTAAAGACAAGAATATGTTTTACCCAATATTAGGCTTTTTTTGCATATATAGATAATATTATATTTCAATTGTTTTTTAGGGTCTGCCTTCCTTATTTGAACAACTTAAACAGAATAACACCCAGGACAGACGTAAGCATCTTCTTCCTTTATTTTATTTTGGTGAATACAATAATCTATGACACATGATCTGGTAAATGACTAAGTTGGCCTTATATTTAACTTAATACATGTTTTAAACACATTTCATTTGTATTGAAGTTCAAATAATGCACGACTAAGAAATTGTAATATTTTTAAATGTCTCTTTTCATAAATTACATTTAAGATTGTTACTTGATAATAATAATGCTGATATTGATATTGTTGCCTTTGATTTTTCGTTGATTTTCAGATGTAATACGAAAATCATATTTCAACATAAGAAAGTCACAAAGGCGCATTTTAAACGAACTACAAATTACAAAAGCCGATATAAAGGCACCAGACCAACCTATCATTCAGGCAAAGGTTAGTATTAAATCAAAACGAAACCAAGGAATATATCACTATAGACAGACGAAACAAGTTTATTCTTTAGAAAAAAAATCGCGTCTTTTCATCAGTTAACTGACATGAAATATAAAAAAAGTAAATAAATTTAAAATAATAATAGTAATTACTACTTTTTCGAACTGCAACAGTGTAAATTTAGATAAAATGCAATACTTCCTAAGTTTATCACGAAAGAATACATTTGTTCTCTAATCTTTGTAAGTTGGAGTCTACTCTTTCTCCAAAAATGAATAGTTATGAGTTTGACTGTCCCTCTGGTATCTTTCGTCCCTCTTTTATGTATCCTATGAAATTGTGCTTATTTGAAAATTGGTATTAAAGTTCATCAAATATATACCGTTACGATAAATTGATACAAAAAAAATATAAAAAAGAGCTTACCACATTTTATGCTTATTAAAAATTTTTCGGAAATAAAAAAAAGAATTAGAAAACATCAATCCTGTAAAAGTAGATAGGGCTTTAAAATTACATAAACCACTTGACAAATTCTTGAATTATGTACAATATATTTGGTTAAATATCGTGTCAAATGTTTTCCTAATTTCTTAGCACAGTTTTATTGCGGTTTATGAACCAGTGACTGTAGATTTTGTCCAGTCCTTACCCCATCTCGACAAACAAACGTGTACAGAGATACTTCAAATGTTAGACACTCCTAGTAGAGAAGAAAGGAGAAATATACCTGGGAATAATCAATATTTACTGGTTAGTATTAAACCAACTAAAACGATAAAAATGTCTAGAATGAATACACAAATCGAGAATATAGGAATTCATTGAGTTAATTAAGAATTGTCAGACATTGGAACGAAATAGGGAAAAGTAAAGGACTACAATGCAGCTCAATATTATAACATTCGAACAAAAATGTAATAAAGCAATGTGTGGCATTTAAACATAAAGGCTATTTGTTATAGGAGGATGTCTTAGCGTTAGGTTATTATAAAATTTACTATAATAGACATAAGAGGTTTAGCTAGCTAAAAAACCAGGTTTAATCCACCATTTTCTACATAAGGAAATGCCTGTAGTTAATCTAGCAATCCAAACGTTTACAAAGGAATTCTATGCGACTGTCATACAAGTGAGAGGTTAAGCTAGTTATAACACCAGTTTCAATTCAGAATGTTCTACATAAGTATATGCCTGTACCAAGTCAGGAATATAACAGTTGTTTTCCATTCGTTTGATGTGTTAGAGCTTTTGATTTTGCCATTTGATAAGGGACTTTCCAATTTGAATTTTCCTTTGAGTTCGGTATTTGTGTTATTTTACTTTGTTTCCATTGGTAAATTCTAGCTTTTGGGAAGATTGTTACTATCATTACCGTGCATGTTAAGGATCTTATTAATGTTATTGTTGTACAAAATCAAGCAGTTGAATAATTCATTCACAATGTTTCATTTATAGAAATACAAACTTCATAAAAGTACAAATCTGTTAGAACTAGCGTTCAAACATTTTTGTGGTGATCCAGAAGAAAATAAATATGAATACCTGAAGATAGTACAAAACATAGTTAAATTCATTGGTGAAATGCATAAGCGTAACTGGATACTCAGAGATCTGTGTGCTGATAATATCTTCGTATTGGACACAAATAAGGAGGTATTCTTTAAAAATTTCATTAGCAGATAACAGTTGTGTACATAATAAAGGTAATTAGCGTTTTTTTACACGATCCATCCACAATTGACTTAAATCAGAGTTCAATAGTTTACTGATATTAAAATCTCATAAATCAATAAAGAAGATACATAATAAAACCAGAAACCTGAGGGAATCGCATGAACTCCGAAAGGAGCGAAACCTGGGGCGATGACATGATAAGCGTCTCCTGCTATGAATGTATCACCAGCCGTGTTGTTTTGAAAACAATTACAGATAACAAATCACAATATTCTCATGAACTCAGCCATGCAAAAAACTTTATGATCAATATCAGTCAAATATCAACAAAGAAAGACGGACATATCACTTTAAAGTTGCAATAAGCAGCTGGAATTTAAAAGTAATGTTAAATGTGACGTGGGTTGTGTTGGGCTTCATTCAGCGAAAGAAACTATTTGTTGATAAGAAAAGTTCATATCAGCAGAACATGTCCTTAAGTTCATCTTTACATGGGAATTAAAATCGAAGTCTAGAGAACAAATTTCTTCCGAAGCAAACACAAAGAAGACTGCAAAGGTATAGCAAAACAATTGAAGCCAAAAGTTATGGTAATAGGATCTTTTAACAAAAATAGGACTTAAATATGTGACATTAGTTGTTCTAGAATGGTATATATGTATAGATTCTACCACTGCATCAAGTGTGATACGATATTTATCCACTCGAGACAGTTAAATTTTCAAATGAAAACGCGAAGCTGGCCGAGCGTTTCAAATATTTAAATTTTAATTGTCGAGAATGGATACATATCGTATTGATTTGGTGGTGAAATCTGTTTCTCTAATGATTAATAGACGATATACAGACATTTTTAATCCTTCTTTTCGAATGATCTGCAAAAAGATGTGTTTTCTATGTGACGTCATCAGGCATGGTCGCCTTTTTTCATGACTCACAATAGGAAATTAAAAGGAAAGAAAGTTTGACGTCATAATCAAATTTTGACAAAATTGAATGAAGAACTGAGATCAAACGAACCACATGTTGATTAAATAAAAATAATCAACAGGTCAGGGAAAGGATAAATCGGTAAGAATTAGTGAAACCAATATATCAAATCGGTAAATGGATTTAAAATCTACAGTTAATCATGAAACATACAATAGATAACGATAAACCAAATTCGTTATTACGGCCGTAAACAGCTGACTGAACAGTTTAAATATAATACAACATAACTGAAGAACTGAAAAGGCACAGTTTCTATGAAAATATCTTTCCTTATACTAGTTTAATTACAATTACAGATAACTGTGGCACGACTTGGTCGAATGTTGTGGTTTGATTCAAATGGCGTCTTGGATGATTGTATTATTGATGAAATAAAAGAGGACAGGAGACGCTGGTGAGAACGTACTATCGTGTATATATAGTTTCAATTTGCTCTGATAACAAAATGTTCGCACCTAAAAACTTCCGGTAACAGTTTTATTTCTTGCATCATATGTTATGGCAAGCCATAAACAACTAACACGCAAAAATAAATATCAAGACTTGAAAATAAACATCAAAAATATATACATACACCAAGGAAAGAAAGAGGTTTTTCATCGGATCTTGATGCAACTTGTTTTGAATAATTCTAAAAACAAAATGAGACTCCATAATTGTTTTATTATCTTAATCTGTTTTCCTGTTTTCATGTTAGCAGTGTTGTGTTTTTTTTTATAATTTCTAGGTAATGACATAGGCATTGAAATAGAGAAAACAACCCCAACTATAAATGTCATTCCTTAAAGTGTGCCATCCATTGTCTTGGCACTTATTTCATGGAAAATATGTTTTTTTTTTAATTTGTTCTTGCAATAATTTAAAGAAGAGAAAAAAAACATCCGAAAACGAATCAAAATCAGTGCTTACAGTAAGTGTTTCGGAAGAAACTTGATCAAGACCAAAGGTTTTAGGTGTATCAAAAGCATAAGGAGCTAGCACAGGACATTCATATCGTATGCAACAACAATTAAAATTATTTGAAAAGCGTGAGATCCATTTTCTTGTATCTAAAATAAATGATCAAAAAGAAGAAAAAGAAATCATGAGGCATGCAAATATCTTAAGTCGAAGAAAGACAAGCAACACTATGGTCAGAAGGAAATAGAACGAACAAAAAAAATTGTCCATACAACATTTAACGTATTCAACGTTCTAGTGAAAGTTGAGCAACACGTACCTTACTAAAATTCAAAAGTGAACCAAAATTTTGACGAGAGTAGGTACATCCTTTAACACACGTGGCGTCCGTAGAAAATGTGATATAGATAACATACCTATATATATAGGTAAAATTACAGTAAATAGGTGAAAAAAATTAATTACACGTTATTACTAAACAATTCAGTAAATACCTGTTATTACTAATCAATTTAGTAATTACATGTATTTACTGATTGTTTAAGTGATTAAAGGTAATTACTGATCTTCTTTGTCATTTTTACAGCTATTTACTAACTTGATATTTTTGTTTCACAAATTTTTAACATAATTCAAGAAAGCAAATAAGAAAGTAAAAGGTAGGGATTATAGGGCTTACTTTAGGGTTAAGGAATCAAAGGTTCTTCAAGACTGCGTGTTCTTTATTTACAGTTTGTGTATTGAAACTGGAAAATTGTTATTTTTTTAATTTTTGAAACTCACTGAAATTCATTTGCAACATGCAAGACAATGATGTAAATCCATGCAACGACAAGGATTAATAAATTTACAAATTATCTCAACCAATCATGTGTATTGTCACCAATTAACAAAGAATGAATGCCTATTTACACAAAGCAAGACATATAATATAAATCCATACAACAACCATGTTTAATTCACAAATGATCTCAGCCAATGTTGAAGTCCGTACGGTGACCTATAGTTGTTAATTTCTGTGTCTTTTGGTCTCTTGTGGAGAGTTGTCTCATTGGCAATTATACCACATCTTCTAATTTTTTTTTATATTGTCACCAATTAACATAGAATGAGTTACACAAAACGTTATACTTGACACATTTGCATGTCTTTCCTCCACAATCTGTTTTGCATGCACAATTTACGAATCCCTGCCCTAGCTGTAGGCGCACTGCTTCCCTAACGCTTAACTCGACCTGGGTATTTGCATCTTGCAAAGCCAACGAATGGATTGCTGAGAAAGTGAATTGATTTCTAGAGAAAGATCCATATAAAATTCCGTCCTTTGAGCAGAGATGGAATTGGTCATTTGTCTAATCATGTACTTATTTACATCATTAATCACAAAGATAAATGGGGGAAGGTGTGGATACGACAAAACTAGTTTAACCCTGCTGGATATTGCATTGGCCTGTCCCAGGTCTGGATTTAAAGACCAAAACAGGACTATTGAATAGCTTGTATAGGTTGATTTTTTTGAAATACAACAGAAATGTCATGAAAACCGTTAGTAAAAGATTGTAATAATTTTTTGTCTTTTTTGGTTTAATTTTTTTTTTTTAATTTCAATCTCCTGATTATAGTGTTTATCTTCTCCTTTGGCATTACGACTATCACATTTTTAGTTGTACAATTTGAACAACTCCTTTGTGTGAGTGGGGTGGTTCTGGATACAGTGTATGGGGTATATTCCAAAGCAGGCACTTTGAATAATACTCAAAGCAGTAAAACAAATAACAATTTAATGAAAAGAAAGTAAAGACATATTCAATTCATACATTTAACACATCAAAACAACTTAATAACTTTCAGGCAGAAACCCTTCCTTAAATTACATCCAGCCATCCATGTTAGATTAGCCATAATGACGCCACAAATCTTGCATATAGAGCTTAACATCAGACAGGCAACCCGTATTGACCCAATCAATTCGTAATATGCACTCAGACAGACAAACCGGTCTTCATGTGATTGGTTCAAAATATTATTATTATTCTAATAAAATAGGTATAAGCAAATAGGTATTTGCATCTTGCAAAGCCAACGAATGGATTGCCGAAAATTGAATTGAATCTTCTTATTTTTTTCTATTGTCACCAATTAACATAGAATGATTTACACAAAACGTTATACTTGACACATTTGCATGTCTTTCATCCACAATCTGTTTTGCATGCACACTTTACGAATCCCTGCCCTAACTGTAGGCGCACTACTTCCCTAACTCTTAAATCGTTCTGGGTATTTGCATCTTGCAAAGCCAACGAATGGATTGCTGAGAAAGTGAATTGATTCCTAGAGAAAGATCCATCTTTTGAGCAGAGATGGGATTGGTCATTTGTCTGATCATGTACTTATTTACATCATTAATCACAAAGATAAATGGGGAGGGTGTGGAGACGACAAAACAAGTTTAATCCCGCTGCATATTGCATGGGCCTGTCCCAAGTCTGGATTAAAGACCAAACGGGTCCAGGAAAGGGACATGGTAGGGGCTTAGGGTCGGCAAAGCAAAGGGTGCATGCACCAATTAAACTCCTGCCCCCTTACTGCAGCCTTTAAACAGAACTATTGAATAGCTTGTATAGGTTCAATTTTTAGAAATACAACAGAAATGTCATGAAAACCATTACTAAAAGGTTGTAATCAGTTTTTGTCTTTTTTTTTGTATAATTTTAAAACAAAATGTTCAATCTGCTAATTATAGTGTTCATCTTCTCCTTTTGCATTAAGACTATCACATTTTTCGTTCTACAATTTGAACAACTCCTTTGTAAATGTTTGTTCTTATTCATCGGCTATTTTCAACAAATATGTTTATTATAAAGACAGTTTAACATCAAGGTATATTTTAGGACGATAAGTTTTTAATAGTACTCACTGACCTTCTTATCAGTAGTATCCTAACTTTTCATCAGCTGACCATATTACAACATTGTTTTAACAGTTGTTAAATAGGTGTAAAAATTCATTATGAAATTAGTAATTACTGGTAATAGCTTGGCAGTTTCAGGAATTACTTGTATTAAGTAAGTGCATTTTAATAATTACGTGTAATTCCTAATTTCACCTATTTAATGTAACATATATATACATAGATATAAGAAGATGTGGTATGAGTGCCAATAAGACAACTCTCCATCCAAGTCACAATTTATAAAAGTAAACCATTATAGGTCAAAGTACGGTCTTCAACACGTAGCCTTGGTTCACACCGCACAGCAAGCTATAAAGGGCTCCAAAAATTACTAGTGTAAAACCATTAAAAGGGAAAAACAACGGTCTAATCTATATACAAAACGAGAAACAAGAAACACTTATGAACCACATCAACATACGACAACTACTGAACATCAGATTACTGTCTTTATATGTGATAGAAATTAGTACCTGGGTAAATAAATCTAGAACTGAACAAACACCATATATTTGTTATGATTAAAATTCAGTGATTGTAACCATTACATGAACTAATGCCAAACCTAAACCAAAGATCTAATTGAATTTAAAATATGTTTTTTTAAATAGGTTACCAATTGAGGTTCTTCAAAATGGCCAATACTCAAAGGAAGGTGATATCTATATGTTTGCAATGGTAGTATATGAACTTTACATGGCGCTTGATGTTCATCAACATGACAACATGGCTAGCGATTTAGAATGTGCACCGTTTGCAAAGGTTTCCATTTCTGAGGTAAATGTATATATTTTTTTGGTATCAAATATCACAGAACTTTTATTGAATGAAACTATTTTCAAATATATAATTAAACAGAGAAGAGTTATGACGGTCAATGTTTGTGGGCGCTCAGCTCTAAAAAAACTAACGTAAAACAGTTATATAACAGAAATATATGGTACAAACAATAAAACTCGATTTAAATTAAATCAGATTGTTTCATCAGTGCTAAGGAAGACACCGTCTGAAGAACAAACAATATATTAAACAAAACTATGAATACACATATTTATTCCAAACCTGTGAAAAATTTGAATTCGACTGGTGAATAGATCACGTTTTCTTTGGATATTAATCAGTGCACCTCCGGCACCTTTAGTAGTCAAACATTCAAAATAGTCTACCTTAATCATTGCAATAAGTCAAGTCCATACAAAAAGTAAAATAATATATCAAAATTTGGTTGCCCTTTGTTGAAATATATTCGTTTATATATATTAAACTATCATAAAGTAGTTTAATTTGTATCTGGTGAACTGTTAGTCCTCAAAGATTTACTTTTTAGGAGCATTGTTCTGATATAGCTCACGTATTTAGATAAATTTACATCATTGACTATCACATATTTAAGTTTCATCGTTCCTGATGGAGGTTAATCTAACAAAGTGCTTCGCACATACGAAATTTATTAAGTGTTGTTTTCGTTTTGTAAATACGAAGACAGTATTCAAAGATCTTACAACAATGTTGTACATATAACTTTATGAATTCGTTTATTTAAAGTATTAGTACGTTAAAATGAACAATTGTTTACTTTTATACATAACCATTTTTAATGTGTTTAGTAAACATTGTCCACAAAGAAAGATTTTTAAACGTTCGAAACATGGTGAAAGTATACCGATGTCATAAAAAATATCACAGTCGACAACAAACAGAAAAACAAGGGAGAGACAACAGACAAAACCGCGCGGACTTCAAACGGAGTAACCCTATTTGGGGCGACAGCGTAACCACCCCCTTGTCTTACATGTGACGATGCACTCTACGATATACCAGATAATACCGAAATTTGTTTTCTTAATTACTATATCTTATCATCCGTCTGTATTTTGTAGTTACTTAAGACCCTATACAGTGGTGAAGTCCCAACACAGCCAGATTTGTGTCCTGACTGGTTATATGATATTATGAACCTCTGTTGGAATAGAGACAGAACACGCAGACCAACATCTAATCATATTTTAAAAGAAATTATGAGAAACCTGGAGTAAGTCATTAACGTAGATACAATTCATAATAACATCTTTTGACTAATACATTTAAAAAAATTCGCAGGTCATGAATGAATACAAAAAAACAAAAACATAAATCGTTAAAAATCTGATTTTGAGCTTCACACCACTCCTGTTAATAAGTTCTTTCAAAATTTCCGTTGAAAGCAATGGTAATGCGTTTTGATTTTGTTTCCTTTGCCATCTGAGTTGGTTTTTGTTTTATTTTTGATACCGTACAGTGATTACGGTTTCACAATTGAACCTGTATAACTGAGCACTTCTTCCTGTACGATTTTTCTCCTCGTTTACTCTTTTTCTCACTTTTCCTTTATAATCGTTAGAGATATCAACAACAAATTTTTCAAATTGGTCAGAAATCTTAAATCAGTTTTAACCGAAGCGATGCAGTAAACGATGAAAAACATTTGCCAAATTATTGGTTACGACATGACGCAACTTCAATACATTTGGGTTGAAATTCTTTGGCCAATGTTCTTTTATTTATTTGTATTCAGTGTAAATTCTCTATCATACAAAGTGTGCAGATGCATTATGGGATAGTGAATTGTCAGTTAGATTAGGTTCATTGTGGCTTTGACCTTCGACACCAAAATGTTGATTGATCTTTTAACATTGACATCATAAAACATGAAATTGGCATATCCAGGAAACATCAAATCGTCATAAGTATATAACATGAATGGCTGAAAGCCAGGATCTCAAAATTTCATTGCCTCAATACTGAATTTCACAGCATCAACTTAGATGCATGTACGGATCATTCGACCCGCTATGCGGACATGACCTGGTACATGACAAGTCCAGAAGGTCTTCTGCGTTGGGTTGAAAGTTGTATGACCTTTAAAAATATCATCCGGAAATTACCTTTTGTAAACCGGATGTAGACATTTTGCACTAATTTCATGGAAGATTATTATCTCCTTTATTTCTCAGAAAGCACTCAGAAACATGTTTTATTGAATGCAGTATAAAAATTTTATCATTGAAACTGGAAGTGACATTTTGTAACCGGAAGTAGCAAATCATATCCTAATTTCACAAAAAATACATAGAAATATAATCTATCTTCAGACACCGGAAGTTACTGTTAACAAGATGTTACTCTATTTTGCCTTTATTTTTCAATCAACTAGTTGATTTAAGGGTGAACAGCCCTTCAATTGTTCTAGAAAAGAAATTGTTTTTAATTCTTTTATCATTCCTTATTGAATACAAAACGATCTATTTTGAATGATTAGATTAATTAAAAAATAAATTCTTGTATTGGTAAAACGCTACTAAAGTATTTTTATAATTTAATGTAATATGTACATGGAGCTAAATTTCTTTATATATTATATATTACACATAACATGTACTTGTAATATCAATAACGTTTACATTAGAATTAGTTTATATTTTCTTTGATTAAATTTCCTTTGTCAGAAATGAATTACATTTATATCTTATAGCACTTTTATCGATCCATGGCAGCAATTTTAAATATTCTCTCGACCAGTGGATGCCTGTTTATGTAGTCTGTACAGTTATGAGTTATAATATAAATTCCGAATACAATCATCCTTACTCCTTCTGTGACTATCTAATCATCTGTTCAGTTTAAACATACTTGATGCAAAATGAATTTTAATCAAAATCTAAAGTACGATAAAAATATGAATTTAGTCTAGATATTCCGAAGTTTTTATTTCCAAAATTTGATGACCTAAATTATAAGTCCATTTCCAAATGTTCATGGCAATATTTTATGTTTAATATTCATAAAACCATGTAGAATTGTAGCTCTTGTATTTTGTGGTTACCACTCTTATCACAAACTAATTTAAGCTTTTAAATGAACATTTTATATGAATATATTTTATATATAAAAATACTTTTGTCCTGCAATCGACCTTTCTACCATACTAATACAGGCGTACAGATAACACGAAGCGATATACGTATACTAGACGTATATAATATCCTGGTATCCTGCTTCTGTTGCGAGCGAACGGTTATGTCAAATTACTGTTTACGTCACAATTAAATTTGGGGTCCTCATTGCGGTCCGCGTTTAAGTCCTGTCGATGATTTCTTTCAAAAACGAACTCAACGATTGGGATGGAAAAAGATGTACTAATTCAATTGCAGGATAAAGACAATAACTATTTAGTGTCTTTAAATATCATCTGTAATTGTACTCGGCTCGAAACAAGAGTAATAGCTCGCTAAAGCTCGCATTACACCTGTTTCTTAGCCTCGTACAAATACAACTGATATTTAAAGACACTAAACAGCTATTGTCTATAAATTACATTAACGTTTCCTGTTAACAATTTCAGGTCGTCAATAAAAGAGGTGGATAACCACTCCGATCAAGAAATGTACGATGTGCCGGAAGATTCTGAACCAGAAAGGGATTATGAACCTCTAAATGAAACTAACAGTATCGATAGTGAAAACTATGACAGCCTTGATGACAGCAGTGTAGAAAATTTTAATCCTCTTATGAGATCAAAAAGTTCTTGTCCAATAATTACAATTCCAAAAACTGGAGAAACTAATCCTTTTGATGTAAATAGACAACATACCTGTAGTTTCGAATCTAGTACAAGTTCTCTAACTAATCAATTTGCAAAAGACAATGTACAGTTTTCATGTGTAAATAGCGACACAGAATCTGAGCGGAGTACGTTCAAACATCATAATTTGCGATATCATCAACAAATATTAGAAACTTCTAGAAGCTCATTCACCAGAAATGGTTTCAGATGCGTAAATAGCATTTCATCAGAAAGTCAAAATGACTACATGAACGAATATCAATTTACGGACGCAAAATCAAAAACTGCAGATAAAACGATAAAAGGTGTTCTATTTTATCCTAATGACACTTCGAAAAATGAAGCTTCGGCAAGTAATATTAATGGTGATGATGATGTTTTCAAAGAAGGTGCAAAATCCATCAATGAAGGCATACATCAAGAATTTAAGGAAGATCGATTAAACGGTAGCGATTCGTCTGAAGCAAGTAGTAGTTACTTTCGTACTGATGTGAATAACCAGTCATCAATAAAAACATCACCAAAGAACACACAAAAAGCAGAAGCTTGTAAATTTAAGACTATCACTGCCAAACAATCCTCAACACCAAGTGATATTAGGTCATTAGACATTCAAGGAAGGATGAGGAGTTCGTCTTCTTCTTCCATCAGCAATCATTTTACGAATCCAGCAAAGTGCAATAGTGAAAATACTTATAATAAATCAAAAACCGAAAGGGACAAAACTAAGCACATCGTTTCTACAGCAGATGACGATAAATTCAGCGATATTTCAAGAGAAAGTAGCACGTACTTTAATGTAGACAAACCACCAGTCAATGCTGAGGATGAAGGCACCGAAAGTGAATCTTATGAAGATTTTGAATCTACTACAAATTGCAAAATTTTTTCACCACCGGAAGACAAAGATTATTTGACTGTTGTGTATGCGAAAGTTTAGGCAATTAACAGACGCAAACTGCACTGTTTGTTAATGTGCTATGTGTATTTCAAATAAAAGTATTCATGGACGAAAGGATACATGGAAAATAGTCAGCCAGACATCATTATTTAGTTATTCGGAATGTTTGTGTACATACTCAACAATACAAGTGACCGGCCGAAAACAAATTCATTATTTTTTCAATATGGTACTTTTATTTTCAAAAATAGATATTTATAAAAATAATATCTTTGTAACACATGTAACATATGAAGTTATTACAAATTTATAACATTTTTGTTTGAATTTCATTATTTTCCCACAGTAGCTTTTATTGTATATTGCTTAAGATAGAATGCAAATATATTATGAATTATAGTCCATTTGAAAGCCATAACACAGGGAAATACATCTTTTTTACTCGATCTTTATTAACTATGGTTTTCCAAATGCATCATATCATACTAAACCTTATTGTCGAATATAGCCATATAAAAACGTACAGGTACCAATCAATACAATTGGAATAGAATCCCTTATAATATGTGGTTTAACTTTATATAAGTGAGAATTATCAACGATTAATTAAATGTCTTGACCAGTTCTTTACATGTACCTTAATGCAGCGCGTAAACTAATCAGACCGACTTATAAATTTTTGTTACATATTGTTACCTGGGCAAACCATTGACAGCGAGAAGTAAAACTACCATTGTTTAACTATACTACTAAAAAAAAGGTTTGCAACAATTCCATTGAGATTAATGGCGATCAAACTTTGAGGGATAATATCTTTGTTTTAAATGCTCAAAATAATATGAAATTCACAGCGTTGGTGTTTTTGATAATGTTTAACTGAGTGTCTTGTAAAAAAATTAGGAATAAATGAGCACTCATATAATTCCACATACAAAAACATATCATTTGACAAGGATGAGATTTTTGCGAATCATAAGTCCTTCATGGCTTCAATGAAAATTACACTAAACAACAAATCAGAGGACTTACCTCGTTTGTATTGGATACATAAGCTTCACAAAATTCCGTACAAACAACGGTACATTGCCGGCTCATCTGCATGTTCTATAAAGGAATTGTCCCTTAGATTGACAATAATTCTGTCCGCTATGAAAGAAGGTCTTCAGAAATACTGCGAAACTGTTTACTCGTGTAGTGGTATTAACCATATGTGGATTCTATAAAACTCTAAAGAACTTATGGATAATTTTAAATCTTGATCTTTCTCTAAAAATTAGTTCTATCAAAACCTTTGATTTTTCAACCCTTTAGACCACCATTTCCCATTTCAAATTGAAAAAATCGTATACAAGAAATAATCCACAATGCTTTTCAATATAAAAATGGTAGCATACGCTATAAATTTATTGCTTTGGGATACCATACCACATATTGTGTAAATAGTGAACAAAAAGGTAAAACATGCTTCACCGAGGAACAAGTGATCAGTATGCTGGAGTTTCTTATTGATAACATATTTGTTGAATTTGGAGGTAGACTTTTTCCACAAATTAAAATTGAGAATGCGTCAAAGAGACAACAACCCAACCAATCAGCAGAAAAAAATTGTCGGCATTCCTATGGGAACGAACTGTGTGCCTCTCCTTGTCGACCTCTTCTTATTTTCCTATAAGTCGGAGTTCCTTCAGACACTTGTCAAAAACAAGAAGATCAATGAAGCCAGATCATTTAATTTCACACTCAGGTATAGTGACGGTGTTCTTTCAATTAACAGTCCAAAATTTTCTGATTGGGTTCCATTAATATATCCTCCATAACTAGAAATTACAGAAACAACAGACACGGCTTTCTGCGCCTCATTTTTAGAATTTTACATTTAATTTAACATAAGCGGTCATCTCAGTACCAGAATCTATGACAAACGAGACGATTTTAGTTTTGAAATTATAAAATCCCCAACCTTAGCAGTTATATACAAACTTCACCTGTATATGGATTATACATTTTCCAACTCATTCGGTATTCAAGAGCTTGCAGATGCTTCTCAGACTTTGTAAAACTTCACCAGTGTCTTAGCACCAGGGTTATGTCAAAGAACGTCTCGTCTTTTTCCTAAACAGTTCAAAGGGAGTTACCAAGACCTTGTTGATAAATATTCCGTATCAACTTCATACATGATACATGACGGTCTTGAAGTATATGTTCTAGGTACTGACGTTGTTTATCATCTTAATTACGTGTTACAGTGTTCTTTTTATTTGTTTTTGTATATTTTTAACCTTTACTGTTTAGTCCATTCTTTGTAATATCCTTTAGGCGTAGCTAGTTATTTATATGTCCCGCCTTTGTGTTATTGTGCTATGGTAATTTTTTGTATTCTTGTCTTTAATTTTTGCTTATATGCTTTGTTTATAGAGTGTCTACATGCCATTTTGTTTTTCTTTGTTGACATAGTTGTTTGTTTTTATAGTGATTAAGATTATAACACAATGTTGACTGCTGTATCCCAATATTTAACATTTTTACCTATTATGTCTGTTTGTTTTGCTCACACATTGTTGTCAATATAATGGATTTTAAGCGACTGTCATACAAGTGAGAGGTTTAGCTAGCTATAAAACCATGATCCTACATTTTCTACATAAGGAATACCTGTACTAAGTCAGGAATATTGACACTATATATGGTGTATGGAATGGTTGTAACATGTGCATGGCTATCCGGCATGGACATCATTTTCGTGGATCATTGGTAATGTTAAGTTTCTGTGATACTTGTAGTAAAACCTTCATGTTACAGACTTTGAACATAAATTCAATTATAAATGAAGCATGCGATACATTTCAGCTTTGGTACTCTTGTTCAAACTACATGTGTGTTTTGTGTTCTTTAAATCACACTGTATTAAGAAAATACATTATAACTTTTCATTGAAGAATATATTTTTTTAAATAATTTTTGGGTTTTGTTTCTTTTGCAGGAGTTGTGACACAGGAATAACTATGTAAATGCTTAGATAAATTGTTAGCTATATAGTAAAGGTGGGTGATATTATGTCCTATTTGCAATGAAATTGAGCCTTTTTATTAATTTTGATCCGTCTGCACTTCCTTGTTTATTTCTTAGATTAAATAGATTGGACCACATTGATTATTTCTAGAATAATTCATAATCATGGTGTATACGAACACTTTTTGCTTTATCACAAAGCTGTCACAGTTAGACAATTATTAAATCAAACTTTGTTGTCTAGACTGTATTTTCATTGCTTCTAATTTTCACGTTTGTAAAATGCTCTGAATTCCTCTTGCCCAGCATAGTTATTAATTATCAACTACTTATTAAGCCTGTAGTTAAATATTTTGATTTAGAAGATGTTGTGTTGATATCGTTTATTTTTTTAGATTGACTTCATGATGAATTCTTGACTAAGGAAACGAAATTGCATTAAACAACAATTTACCTCAATATTAAGAATCATTCTAGCTGGTCTTGGGCTCATTCTTTGCATGAAAGACTTTGAAAGTAAAACCTGGAGTCAACTTCAATTCACATATATTTTTTTATAAACAAATAAAGACCATAGCTTTTGAAAAATAAATATTTCTATTATATTGTCAGTCAGCCTACCTACAATGAATCTGATATTTGGTAATAAGATAAGATTCCTAAGGTGAATTGTGAAAAATCTGGACAATCATAAGATACCAAAAAAGAAATAAAATAGAAAAAAGGCCATTTTTCCCTCAGAGCTTCAAGCTCTTAGAATTTGTGATTCTGACTTATTTTAACACTCGTGATGTGTTCTAGAATCATTTACAAGCTTTTTGGCGAAAAGGAGGGGTGCGGACTTTACTTTTTATGCTAGAACAGAGCATATGAATTTTATCTATAGAAGCGGAATTTCATCAGTCCTAGGAAACCAGCAATTTCCTTTAGGGATTAAGAGTCTAGGCTTAGTCTTTGAAATAAATCCCTTCTTAAAATAATCAGTTTCAGTATCTGTCGTTTTAGCTCTCACGATACAGTACGATCAGGGACATACACAGTCCAGATCATTAGACGATAAAAATTTGAAATGGCTAACTTATGTTGTTACAATGTCAGTCCAATTGTCTGACACAAGGAAATGAATTTTGTAATAAACAAACATAGCAAATTAGTTGGTGAAAGATTTTGAACCGCTTTCAAATATGATAATTATCCATGATTGATTGTTGAGTTAGTGTTCCTCAAATGTAAGTTTCCGAGGAGACTTAAGTGTTTTAATACCTGCCAACTTTCAAAATCTACATTGGACATGTTTAGCACTTTTTAAGATATGTTTATAATGAAACAAAAACTTGTTACTGTGAACAACTATACCAATTCATGATTGATTGATTGGTGTTGGTGTTAAACCCCACTTTCAGCACACTTTACTAAAATCATGGTGGCCATTTTTTATTGACAAAGGAAGCCGGAATATCTAAAGTGAATAACCAACTTTGACAGAAAAACTTTCAGGTAAATCCTAATTAATTCCTTGAATATTTGCTTCCCTCAAGTTGAACATGCAATGTATGGAATTATAAAAAATTTAATTTAAATCAACAATATTAGGAGATTTTAATCTTTAGTTTAATATGCTTTGGTGGAGATATGAGTAAGTATGTTATTTTTTTAAGACAAAAATACGTCGAAAGCAACAGTGGCACATAGCAGGCGGGGTTAGTGTGGTCTGCTTTCATTATAATTCAAATCATCTTTTCATGTATCTTCTTCCACCTCAGAGCTAGCAGGTCTCTGATTGCTGTTCATGAGTTATAGATCGGAAAGTAGGCATTGAATGTTGCAAGTAAAAAAAAGGCCTGAAAGCACTTTTCAAAATACAGAAAACCAGGTTTTCTGTCAATTTGACTGCTCCTTCCTGTTTTTCATTGGTAAAGTGCCAATATTCTTTCGGTAATCAGATACATGTACAATCAATTCGCGAGATATCTAATGATGCTCTTTCCTTAAATATAAGCAAAGCAGAGAAACGCTACCGGAAGAGAGAAACGATACTGGAAAGGATTTTGGCGCCAATGCAGTAAATTCTCAAGTTTTAGGAGGTCAAAACATGCCTAAAGAAATGTTTTCTGGTTTGCTTATTATTCCTTAATTAGAGTTCAACCTTTTATCTCAAAAAATAAACAGAGAAATCAATTGGCACAGATGTTAAGTTTCTGAGCAAGGCCTTCCAAAACTGCTCCCTGAAAGCTTGTTAATCAACAGTTTCTTGAAGAGAACAGATTAAAAAAGAGATTTTATTATACTTTTATTAAAAGTAAAGACAAC